ATCCGCCACGGCACGCCCCCCTGAGGTGTTTGGCGGGGTGGCGGGCCCGCGAGAGGCAGGGTGGGTGGGGCGCTGTGTCACTTCAGGGTGGCGGGGGGGTCTGACGTCGGAAATAAACTTTAAGGAATTGCTTTAGCGAGGCGGGAAGTCGCAGCCGCGCTGTGGGTCAACGAGAGCCGTCGGGAGGGGCGGGAGAGTCGCCACGAGAAAGTTGCAGGCTGGAAGGACGCCAGCTGAGCACGTTCGTACATAAGCCATGTTAGCCTCTGGCTCAGGGGTCTCCAACCGTGCCCACTTGAAGACTTGTGGACTTCAACTCCCAGAATTCCTCAGCCAGCAAAGCTCCATAAAGGCTGGCTGAGGAATTCTGGGAGTCGAAGTCCACAAGTCTTCAAGCGGCCAAGGTTGGAGACCCCTGCGAAGTCTGGCTTATTGTAACGGTAAATCACGCGGCCGTTTTGATCAGAAAGCTTCTTAGCACAAACCTGCAACGAAGGAAGCAGCGTCATGTAGAAGAATCCGATCAAAAGAAATGGGTGTCAAGGAACCAGTGGTTTATTCTTAGGGTCTTAACTTCATCAATCAGGATAGAGAAGGAAGGGACCTTGGAGGTCTTGTAGTCCAACCCCGGGCTCAGGCAGGAGACCCTATACTATTTCAGACAAATGGTTTTCCAATCTCTTCTTTAAAAACCTCCAGTGATGAAGCATCCACAACTTCTGGTGGCAAGCTGTTCCACTGGCTAATTCTCACTGCTAGAAGTTTCTCCTTAATGTGACTAGGACGGGATGTTTTCTTTCCTCCCATGCTCACCTCTTGAGAGTCATCGCTGATGCGCTCCTTGCCTTCTGCAGCGACATCACTTTGCATCATCAGGTTCTACTCTGAAAATTCTCTTTGCATCTCAGGACGTCCCAGGTTACCATGGAGACAGGAACAAGCACTTTGAAATGATTCAAGCTTTACTGACCACTCTTCACCGGATGCTCACCTTGTTAGCGTCAGTTTCTTACATCCTTTGAAATATCTATCTATCTATCTATCTATCTATCTATCTATCTATCTATCTATCTATCTATCTATCTATCTATCTATCTATCATGGCAGGTAGGGATTGGCCAATCTCACTCTTTAAGGGAATCCCTTGTTTCTCCAGAAAACTCATTCAGTGGCAAAAAGTTGCATTACACAGGCATAACTAGGGGAAGGAGAAGTGTTGGGGAGGGCCATAAAAGAGGAGATGGAAACTACTGTATGATGGCGCTGCTCAAACTTTCGACTTCATTGTTGGCATTTTATAAATTGATATTGGCACTTCTAACGCATAACCAATCTTAATATGTTTTTGTCTCTAGGCCTTTAATCCTCTTTAGTTGCTCTTCTCTGCATTTTCCACATTTTCCTTAATCATAACTATAAAAGTATATCTGTCCATTGTTCTGGGTCTTGGTTCCTTTAGTTGCTGACATCCTTTTGCTGGAGTACTTAAAGGTACCTTGAGCCAGCTCTCATGTCTGGTTTTGATTGGCATCTGTGCCAAGCTAAACCCAGGTTGCAGCCAACAAATGCTTCCCCTTTTCTCTTGCTGTCCAGTTTCCCTCTGTGCGATGCGCGTAGCCTCTCCCCCCCCCCCGCCCCCCGAGTTTCCTGATGAGAGTTTTGAATGAGATTTTGGAGCTGCGTCAAGGATGGCCTTTAGCCGACCTTCCACTGGCAGACCTTTTGGGGTGGGAGGCTCAGAAATTGGTCTGTTCACAGCTCTGGAAGTCGCAGCTGTCCAGGACATGGCCGGCCCTCGCTGACCGGCTGTGTTGGCTGCTGGTAGCCTCCAGAGCCGCTTCGAGAGGTTGACTATGAACGTGAACCTTAGTTCAGGCCCTGCCTGCCTTCTGTAGGCCCTGCCCTTGTCTGATGGGCAAACCCAGCCCCGAGGATAGAAGGGGATAGTGCAATTCCTTGTTCCCGAATTGCCTGCCCTAGGGTAGGATTGCAATTCTTCCTGGCTATAGCAATAGCATTTAGACATTTATAAGCTTCATTGTGCTTTACAAGCAGTTTACAGCGTCAGCCTCTTGCCCCCAACAATCTCAGTCCTCATTTTACCAACCTTGGAAGGATGGAAGGAGGGGTCAACCTTGCACCCGTCAGGATCGGACTCCTGGCAGTGGGCAGAGTTTGCCTGCAATACTTTTATGAATAGTTCCCCATCTCCCAAGGTCATTCTCACATACCATTAGAACAGCTCACAGCGGAACCTTTTCAAGGAAACGTCTATATATTTCTGTGATTAGTTCATACTTAGCAATTGCACTTAGACTTATACACCACATTACAGTACTCACTACATGGTCTATAAATGTCAACCTTTTGCCCCCAACAATCTGGGTCCTCATTTTACCAACCTCAGAAGGGTGGAAGGCCAACTCAACCTTGAGCCGGTCAGGATTAAACTCCTGGCAGTGGGCAGAGTATCCCTGTTCTGTTGCTCTAAACGGGCTTGGTAGAGGATTTAAAATTCACTCAGAGGCCAGGGCGCTGAGCAAATCTCCTGTCGTTCATGGTCCTGTTAAGTATGTAAAAAGGTGAACCCGATTCAGCAGGTATGCATCTGCCTAGCTTTTTCTTCCATGTTCTGAAGACCAAGTGGGCACTTCCTCAGTGTACCTCGAAATCCTGCAAAATGATAAGTCTAAAGCAGCATCAGGGGCAGATTTATTGAAATTTCCGGAACGAACTTGTGAGCTACTTGGTGACATTCAAAACATTTCCTATTTCTGTTAGGGAACTGGCAAGTTGGAAAATGAGCAGGAGCTACATTTCCATGAAGTGTAGCAAGAAATTAACACACACACACACACCCTCTCACAGTGCTGAGCTGGTGTTGTGTTCCAGCTCAGAGTAGCACACCACGATAAATATCTCTTTGTATCTCCGTCTAGTCATTCTCAAACCGTTTCATTTTCTCCAGTCCTGCCAAGAAACCGATTCTTTATGCTTCCTAAAGACAAAGAGGACGCATAAACATTATTACTTAACCTGCTATAATGGAATCTTGTCCCAACCATGCTGTCCTGATTCTTCCAGGAGTCCTTTCAGTTAGAATGAGATACAGCTGAAGTCTCGGGGAGCGAGGACTCAGATGAGGAGGGGCCTGCATGTGATGCAGGGATGGGGCCAGGACTATTGGAGAGTGGGGTGCTGCCTTTAGAGCTTGTGGAGTATGGCAGCAGTGATGCCCAGTGCCCAGTGCACGCAGGGCTGCTGGAAGGAAAAAGCAGCTGCGCAGCACAGGCGACTCAGGAGTAAGGCTGCAAGGTGATGGTCCCTCCCTTAAGGGATAAAAGCCAGCCTGAGAGACCGGTATTCCTTGCAGGAAGCAAAGAAGTTCTTGCACTTCAAGCCTTGTGGAAGTTTGGACTATCTTGGTTTGTGTTTGAAGACTTTTTGTTTGGAATATTTCTTGGCAACTTAATCTAGTGCTTTTGTCAGCCTTGCACAACCTTGGCAAGGCTCGTTCATATCAGAATTAACGGAATTTGCAGAGAAGCATTAAAAGGTTTTGCTTTTACCTCTGTTTGGTGTTTGTTTACTTGGAACAAGGTTTGGTTCAGAACAGGTTCAAGCAATTAAAACCACATCAAGAGAGCTTTATTTGCAAATGTAAATTAACTAAACTTACATCCCAATTTATATACATTTATATATCTATATATATATCTATATATATCTATATCTATATATATCTCTTTCTCTCTCTCTCCCTCCCTCCCTCCCTCCCTCCATATATATATCTATATATCTATATACACAGAGATCATATCATGACTTCCACTGCTGGCCCACAGAGCAGTAGCCCCCCATTTGCCATCTGTACCCCACTGCAAGAGAGGGTGACTTGTGCCTGGAGCTTTCCTGTCATTCAGAGTCTGGACAGAGTTTGATCAACACCACCCTTTTAAAACACCTAATGGCGGGTCGCACTTTATACTCTAATAAAGCCAACTCTTTAAGGCCACTAAAAACAGGAAGCCTGAAGTGGAGCAGTCCGTAACTACAGGTAATCCTTGACTTACAACAGTTCATTTAGTGACTGTTCAAAATTACAACGGCACTGAAAAGGGTTTTTCACACTTATGACCTTGGCAACATCCCCATGATCACGTAATCAGAATCCAGACGGTTGGTAACTGGCTCCTATTTGTGATGGTCACAATGTCCTAGGGCAGTGGTTGCCAGCCAGTAGGCCAGAGACCACTGGCTGTCCATGAAAAAAATTGGGTGGTCTGCAGAAGAATGTCCCCCCCCCCCAAAGCAATTAATCCAGGCTGCGTGGGAATACAAGGCTTGCGTCGCTTGCATTGCGCACAACACGAGGTAGCGAGGGGAGTGGAGAAAGGGTAGGAGGGGGAACCTGCCCAACGCGCCTAGTCTGGCCACTGAGCTGCTGCTTTCTGCTTCTTTCTTCTTCTGCTTTTGGCTGCACGCAAGGAAAGCAGCAAAAGTCTTTCTCTCCCCCAAACTCTGCCAGAAATGAGTCTTTGCCACCCTGCAAGGCCTCCTGCTCCAAGAGGCTGCAGCTGTGCAACAAATCTCACAAAGACTCATTTCTAGCGGAGTTTGGGGGAGAGAAAGAAAGACTTCTGCTGCTTTCCTTGCATGAAGCCAAAAGTCTCTCTCTCTCTCTGCCCCTGAGAACGGAGCTGGAGACGGTATCCTGCGATCCCAAATAAAGAATGATCGATCGGTAGGAAAACGCAGGGGGAAATTTTCCTGCAGACTTTCTTGGGGATTTTCCCAGGGTCTCTGGTCCGCGGGATTTAAAATTATGAGTTTGGTGGTCCCTGAGGTCCAAAAAGTTGGCGACTCCTGTCCTAGGGGAGTCACGTGGTCCCCTTCTGCGACCTTCGGACAAGCAAAATCAGATTCGATAAACAACCGGGTTACTAATTTAACAGCTGCAGTGAATCACTTAAACCACTGTGGCGAGAAAGGCTGTAAAATGGGGCCAAACTCACTTCACAAATGTTTCACTGATCAACACAAATTTTGGGCTCCATTGTCGTAGGTCGGGGACTACCTGTAAGTGTCCCATTGGACAAGCAGAACCTCTGGCCTGGAGGCTTGACCCTGATGCTGCTGGCTGAAGGGCAGAAACAGAGGCGTCTTAATCATTTCTCGGGGCTTCCAGTCTTGGGCCCCTATTTCCCAAGTAAAACAAGCTTGCATCCCCAGAAGTGATGGGATTGGCATTGCTGCAGTCTTCCTTTAAAAACCATTGCTAAACTGGACCCTGCAGATAACACACAAATCTTTTTCAGAAGCATTGCTTCACCGCTGCAAATAAACGAGAGCAGGAGGATCAAGACATCTGTGCACAGCACAAGAGGAGAATTTCAACTTTACAGTTGCCAGTGAAAACCAAGCACCATACTGGCACTTTTGTGCTTCTCCAACGACTCCATCGGGATAGCCATTAGTGAGAACAGGTTTGGCCGAAACAAACTGGTAACTTTTTTTTTTTCCTCCTGTCTCCCTGGCAGAGAGCTGGGAAGAACCAGATGATATCATCACAATGCTTGCCTTTTAACTTTCTCCCGTCACCTTTCTAAGTCCTAAATGATCCCCCTTGCCAGCTGACTTAATAGTTTGCCAGAATTGCTCCATCGTCTTGTCTTTGCAATTATAATTCACAGCGTTAAAGTATCCGGTGGGAGCAGTCGCTTTAAAGCTTGGCTGATACTGATCTGTGCACAATGGAAAAAGTTGCTTCCCAGATTCCACCCAAGTCTGAACTCAATCCTAGAAATGCCTAATTGTCTTCCCTGAGCTTCTCTTCTCTTAATAGGAAACAGGCTGTTTGTCCACACTGTGTAAGGCAAGATTGTGTTTTACTGCTCTGACTCGGCTCCCTAAGAAAAGAAAATGCCCATAGGGAAGTTTGAAGAGAGACCTGCACACACACACTTGCTAATCTTGGTCTTCAAGAAAAGCGTCACGACTGCATTGGGAAACGCCACCTACCAAACTTATCAGGGTAGAGACAGAGACTAGAAACCCAAATCCAGAAAGAAACCGTTCTAAAAACCTGTAACAACAAAAACATTAGCTTTGGGAAAACAGATTGACTATTTTAACTGGGCAGTGTGTTTTTGCCAAAGGGGACTTCCAGCTTTATAAATAGTCCCTCATCAATAGTTCCAGCTTCTAAACAAAACTTATTAATATCAGAATTTGGATATGTCCTGGTCACATTCTATGTATTTTTGGTATGAAAAATTAGAGGGGGGGGGGAGAGGGAGACGAAGAAGTTTCCTGTTAACATACATCTTCCGGGAGAGCATTCAGTTGCATCCCTTCCATCATCTATTGCCATAGTAACTCTTATCAGTGCCAGTTGTGGGAAGGAAGTGACCTGCCTCTGATGTGATATATGCAGCTCAGGTGGAAAGTCTCGTCCCTAGCACTGCTCCATTGTTAAGCGCTGCTCCAATGGAACCAAGGGGAACCTGGCTTGCTTTCTGTAGTTACATAAAAAAATAAATATCTCATCAGTTCTTTGACTCTTCCCAATCTTTTGAACAGGCAGGTGGGTTGGGGAAGCTGCTCCCATGCCCCCTGCTCAGGTCCTTAAGAGGAGGGCCCATCCCCTAGCCGAATGGCCCCAAAGAAAGTGGTGTGCCTGCTCATGTTGATGGAGATGTCAGCGTGGACCATTTTCACAGCAATCTTCTGCCGAGCTTTGAGGAGACAAACCCCAGCGGTGTAGCAGGTGTTGAAGTTGGTCTTCCCTGTCTCAATACTCCGAGTGCATTGCAGGAAAGGCTGTTCATCCACCACCACCTCGAAGCTGGCAAAATCTGTGAAGTTTATGTAATATACCTAATTGGAAGCAAACATATTTGGGGGGAAAAAGTATAACCAGGAGGAAGAAACCCTACAGGAGATTCATGTAAAAGTGCGCCTATAGCAATGCTTGTTATTTAGAAGACAGGATAAATTACTCTTTAATGACGGTAGAGAACACGGGCACCAGTCACTGAGTCAAAAACTGTCTCCATCTCATGCACACAAGAAATGAATTCATTTAATGGAATACACAATGGTGGTTTAACTGATCATCGATTACCCTTGAAAGAAATCTAATTTTGTTTACAGATTACTTTCAAAGAAAACATAAGGCTTCAGTTGAATTTCTACTTCTATGGTTATTGGCCTATCAGAGCAGCAATGCTGAAATGCCATCTCTTGAGGAACAAGCCAATCCACAGAAGAAAAATATGTAACTTCATTGGGAAAGATTTGGCCTGTGGAGATAGACATCCACAGAGGCTTTATTACCTAAAGAAATTCTTTGTGGAAAGCTGTTTTAATAGCAATAGCACTTAGACTTATCTATCGCTTTACAGTGCTTCCCAGCCCTCTCTAAGCGGTTTACAGAGTCAGCATATTGCCCTCAACAATTTGGGTCCTCAATTTATCCATCTTGGAAGGATGGAAGGCTGAGTCAACTTTGAGCCTAGTGGGATTTGAACTGCCAAATTGCAGTCAGTCAGCAGAAGTAGCCCACAGTACTGCTCTCTAACCACTGCACCACCACAGCTCAGTTTAAAAACAACCCTCTTATTTTTCATGGAATGCTCCAATCGCAGTTTTATGAGGTCCCCATTGAAAACAACCCGGCGCCACCTGTGTAAAAGATTTCAGGCTGCTGCATTCACAGACAAGCTGCCAGAATGACCCGTTAAGCTTGGAGCCCCTTTGCCTTGTCTTGCATGGGAGCCTTTCACACCTCTCTCTGCCTGCGGACTTGGCCCGTCTTCTGTCAGCGAGTTCCAGATTCCTCCCCTGGTGCTCCATTCACCCCACCTGACCCCGAATTCTGTAGGAAGGTGTAATTCACTATATACAGTAGGACAACCGGTCAACTGCAAGAAGGGAAGGGCAGGTTAGAACAGGCAGCTTAGGAAAGAGTTTTTGTAGACACGCTCCAAGGTAAGGCTTGTGCAACTCCCATTGGCTTAGAGGCTGGGATTTGCAAATGGAGAGATGCGCTCTCAAAATCGGCAAGGATACTTACAATTTCATTCTATTTTTAAATTGTATTACTTTTCATTTATTTATGGAGTGAGGGTATAATTTTATTGTAACGCTATTTCTCTATTCCTAAACCCATCCACCCCAAAATGATCTGCAGTGCTTGTGGGTTGGGTTTTATCCCCCTTTAGCACCTATGACACTGAAAAGGTCGTTTTATTTATTTTTTTTAATTTAGAAGACATAGAAAGGGACACATTCTTTGAGGTGGTGAGTGAATAAGTACATGGGGCAACCGAGAAAGGGATTTGGGGGCAGGGGGCCAAGGAGAAGGGACCCTGGCCATCAAAGACAACAGTTGGAAAATGCCATATAAGCAAAGTGGTAGCGACTTCAGGGAGATGCAAGCTTGGAGAAGGGAGGAAGGGTGGGATTGAGGGGAGGCTTCCATTAGAATCCTGTTAGACACATATATTCTAGACCAGGGGTCTCCAACCTTGGCAACTTATGGACTTCAACTCCCAGAATTCCTCAGCCAGCAAAGCTGGCTGAGGAATTCTGGGAGTTGAAGTCCATAAGTCTTTAAGTTGCAAGGTTGGAGCCCCCTGGTCTGAAAAAGGAGCTGGTATTTCAGCAATACCACAGCATCCTGAATTTATTCCCTATTGCCTACAAGACAAGAGACTTCTTAATGCACACACTTTTGATCGCCTTCCTTGTTCTGCAGCAGCACTCTCCTGATGCCACAGATGTTGCATTTTTGGATAGAGGAAAAGGTGTTAGGCCTAAGACCGTACTCACTTCTACCTGACTATAGACGAAGTACGTGCCGTCTGCCAGTACCTCCAGCTCGCCACTCCGGGTGTGCAGCTTAAACACTTTCGGGTTCATTGTTATGCGAGACCAGTCATTAAGAACTCCACCTGAAAGATCTCAGCAAGAGAAAATGGCAGTCACTCAAAAGCCTTCATGAAAAGAAACATAAAAACAGTACAAATGTGACGGGATCAAGGTAGAACACGTAACACAAAAGGTGAAGATTGGTTTAGACCAGAGGTCCCCAAACTTCAACTCCCTGGTGGACTTCAACTCCCAGAATTCTCCAGCCAGCATAACTCCCAGAATTCTCCAGCCTAGCTGGCTGGAGAATTCTGGGAGCTGAAGTCCACAAGTCTTAAAGTTGCCAAGTTTGGGGGCCTCTGGTTTAGACTGACGTGTCTAAACCAGCAGCGAGGGCACTCCAAACAGCAAAACAAAGCACATTCAACAGAAGTCCTCACCTGGGAGGAAGCTGTTAATCTGCAAAAATAAAGAAGGAAGATGCAGGCTGTCAAAGCCTTGTTAAAAGAGAGGAAGGTTTTTCACAAAATCCTCTACAATCAGAGGTTGCAGAAATGTTGAGAATACGACTGTTGGGGCAGAGAAGATACAGGAAGAGGAAGGCAGGTAGGGAGTAACTTAGAAGACAGAGCCGATCCCACCCAGCCACTCCCAGGCAGGAAGGCTCCAGAAGTTCAGAGGAAATCCCTCATGTTAGATGTGTCCCTTCCCTGGGTACCCAGCGAAGGCTGCATGTTTCCAGAGGCCACCGAACGTTAATAGGAGAAATGCTCTCTCTCCCCCAAGCCTTTCACTGGGAGATCTAGAGACTGAAATCTGCAGTCTTCTGAAGGGTGCAGCTGAGTTCCCAACTCCACATATCTACACACAAAATTAGGAAAAGAGTGTAGCAGAAAATCCATACAGCACGAACACTTTCCATTAAAATCATTCACATCATGAAAAGGCTATGCTGGCTGAGGAATTCTGGGAGTTGAAGTCCACAAGTCTTAAAAGTTGCCAAGTTTGGTGACCTCTGGGCTACGCCTTAAAAAATTGGGAAAATACATTTACGGCCCCAATTGCTCAGCGGAGACCTGACATCTCATGTGATGGACAAGTCATCCCTCTGCAAGCATCGGTTATGGATATTGCAGTAAAAGGGGGTCTCCCTTTATTGAAACTGTTGTGTAAGCACATCCCTGAGGCCCAGGAGACGGAGTACGGGGAGGGGGAGTACATGCAGCGCACATACACACATCCCACGCCCCTTTTGGCTTCCTAGGCCTCAGGGAAACCTCCTGGGCGAAGCAGTAAGACAGCGAGGGGGATCCCAGCACAGCTGACTGTCGAAAGAGGTGATCGTTGGGAGGAAGAAAAGAAAAAAAGAAATACTGGTTAGGCCGAACGGTAGCATTTTTTGCTACCGGTTCACTTGAACCAGGCCGAATCGGTAGAATACCACCATTGATGAGGACCCCTTCTCTCTTTCTCTCTCTCTTCCCTCTCTCTCTCTCTCTCTCTCTCCCTCTCTCTCTCTCATTTTTGAAGAAGGCCACTGAACCTCTGCTGAGGCAAGGTGAAAACGGATCAAAGAGGCTGAGCAGGAAAGTAATAATTATCTTTTGCTGTTCCCACAACATACTTCCAGCCTGGGTCCAGGCTCAGTTTCAGGCATTGTGGGAATATGGACTGTGTAACTAAAGAGAAGACTTTGCTGAGAGCTTTGAGGCTGCTGCAGAGGTTGGTGAGAATTCACTCAAAAGACAAAATCGGGGATGAAAAGGGTGACCAGCCTGCGCGTGAGATAAAGGCCCATGGGAAGCACTGACCCCGTCCACTAATAGCCAGCCTCTGTCTTGTAGGGACGTCTGTCGCGGGAATGAATTGGATTGCCTCTTTTGGCCCAGCCTTCCTTTCGCTTGCTGGGCATTCTCATTCCAAAGAGCAGAAAAAGAAAATTGCTACTGGGGAAGCTTCCAAGTTGTTTGAGCCGGAGTCCAGATGCAGAAATTAATCCGGATTAGGGACCTTTCGGTTAAACGCAGGCCAGGCGGCCTCCTGGACTCAAGATCTGCTTGGGAAGCCCTGGGCCTCTCGTGAGACCTGTCATGGCCCAGACTTTGATTCTGACTCTTGAATCTAAGGAAGCTGCCCCAGCTGATCCTGTGGAATGTCAACCTGAGGAGACACCCAACCAAGAATCAGGTAAGGCTGATCAAGCACAGGCACCACCTGGATGGCTGAAGCAGTCTGAGGAGGAGGAGGAGGACTGAAGGCCTCCCAGCCTCTGCACCTGGCGAGGAGAGAGCAGAGAAGAGCAGCAACAGGCTCCCGCCAAGCAAATGAGTAAATCTCTTGATTGATGACAGCTGGCTGCAACCTGATTTAAGAGGCAGCCCTGACCCAGCTCCCCTTTGTTGGAAACAACATCTGAGCTCTGGCTCTTGCATGACATTCCCGTGAACCCTGCTGTGTCAGAAACCTTGAACCCCTGACCTCTGTGGGAAGCCTCTTAGAATTTGCGTTTTTGTTTGACTGACACCCCTGATGGGGCTCCTGGAACTTTGGACTGGATTTTGTCAGGCACAAGAAAGACCAGGTCCACTCATGAAAGTCCAATTAAATTGATTTGCTGCTAATAACCCAGGCGCAGGAATCTTCTCAACAGCTGGCGCTTGGTTGAAGTTAGATTAGGGTCAATGCAATTCAAGGGGGGAGGGGTTATCTCCTTGTGGCTACATGGGGATTTTAGGCTGGACCCTCTTTTAACTCTGCCCCCAGCTTCTACTGCTGCTGCTCCTCCTCCTCCAGATTTAGACTAGTCTTCTGCATGCTCCTATTTAAAGCAAATTCTTGAGGCAACTTTCTGTTTGGTTGTTGTTCTGTTTTGCTGTCATCTCTTCAGCCTTAAAATACAATTGCTTATCTCCATAGCAACCATGCTTGAGCGTGTGTGATTGAAACCCGAAGCACGACAATAACAACGTGGGGCTATGGAATTCACTGGGTGATATCTCTCATGTTGTGGAAGGCATAGTGGAGGGACCGATCGGTATACTGATTTGAGAGTGGAGACTCATCTTGGAGATAAATCAAAGAAGGAAAATAATAAACAAGACAACTTGAACTGTACTAAGAAAATACCTTTCAGGTCAAAAGTCTGTCGGTTGCTGTTGAGTAAGCTAAGAAAATTTGAGAAAATCTGAGTGATGGAAGAATTGGATGGCATTCTGAATACAAATATTTTAGAATGGATAGTGACCCTTTGTGCGTTTTTACTGTTGTTTTTTGATGTTGAGACACCACTGACAAAAAACACAAAACAAACAGTCGTCATGTAAAAGAAAGGAAACTTTCTGTGTGAGAAAAGTTGTGTTTGTTAGAAGAGTTGCGTATTCAATAATTTAGTTTCCTATTGCAGAATAATTCAGAAAGCTTCAGAACCCGCTGCCTCCACAATGAAGCCCCACAGAATGCAACGGGCTTTCCGGAAGACAAGAAGGAAGGGCTCTCTCCAGATGCCGCAGAGTCAGCTGGAGAATCAGATATTTGAGAAAAGACAGGAGAGAAGAAGGTCTGTCCTAAGAGCTGTGGAATTATTGGAGCGTCCACAAGTGTAGGCTTGACTGCACATCGAAGTTTAATCGTACACGCATGTAAAGCAAATATGGGTCCCCTTTGAGGCAAATGGAACAGAAGGCGACATGGAAGGCACCAAAACAGGGACCAAAGACGCAGCGACTTGTTCTGAAAAATTACAGGTGTTGCTACTCAGAGGCCTGGAAGATTAAGGAGAAATTACATGAAAAACACCTGAGGGTGAAATTTGATTTGACACACAACAATTAGAGGCAAACCAAGATTGAGATAAGATTGTGACAAGATTGTGAAGATATGGTGGTGATGGTGAGAACAAAATATCTGGATTGACATGGTAACTAATTTTAGTTAGACATTAAAAAATGAGAGAGGAAGAAAAAAAGATCATCAAATGCGTGACACATGCTGTTGAAATATTAAAACCAGAAACCTGGGAAACGTTCTATTCCTTTCTTTAACGGGAACTAAGAAGCCGACATTGTGAATTGTGGGTCTTTGGTGTGGCTGAGCGCTTGGCAGGCTTACCATTCTTGACTTGGATAGCAGAACCCTGGCCTTGGAGGTGAACCACTGCTGGCTGCAAAACAGAAGAAAGCAGATTCAGATTAAAACAAAGGTAGATTCCCCTTGTTTACAGAAATGCCCAAATGCTTGTCTTGAACGTTTACAATACATGGAGTCCTCAAATTAGGACTACAATTAGGACTGGAAACCCCGGGCACTGAGTGACCTTTTAAGCAAAGACACCCGTGTCGTCACTGTTTCTGGCAGTTACGCTCGTGAAGCCACCTCTGGGTCATTGAATGGATGGAGTGAAAGAAGGCCTCTTGCAGGATTCCCGAGATCCCTTCTTGGGGCTGCAGGAATGGGTTCTCCACTTTCAACCTTCCCTGCCCGTCTCCCCATTAATTTTGGGGAAAGCTGGCAGAGAAGATTGCAAATGGCAATCACAGGATTGTGAGATGCTTGGCAACTGGTTGTAAATGCAAGTCGCCACTTGCCTAGCAGCTGAAAGGTGGACCACAAAAGTGTGTGTGTGTGTGTGTGTGTGTGTGTGGGCGGGAGGGCAGGGGGACAACTTTTTATAGTGGCCAGAAGTTCTTTATGGGCCATAATGCACCTTTCCAATGGTGATAATGTTGAAAGTTTGTTAAATGTCTGATCGTAAGTTTAGGACAACCTGGAAGAGACTATGAATTTCTGATCTCGTGGAACTAAAGTCCATTCATTGCTATAAATAACTTATTTGGGCATCAGAAATTTCCTAAATGCAAGCTGCGAAAAATTGACACAAATGTGTGAAATTACAGCAAATACGTCCTTTAGCAACATAACATAAGAAAAAGATGATAGATCTAATCAGATCACCTAGATTTTATGCAAAGATGAATGGATGGATAAACAAATCTGCTCTGGCTGGAAAAGTCGCATTTTTTTGCATTTAAAAAGGAAGCAAGATACATTTGTGATCAGTGTAGCTGATGTTTTCCCCCCAATGAAGTCACTGACCTGTGAATCCCTGGGTCCCGCTCTTTCTGTTGTGCCTGCAAAATAGTTTTTATATTGAGTCACATATGGCTTTATATGAGCAAGCTTTTTTAAAAGACTTCATCAAAATCCCATGCTTTTAGGAGTTCATTGGTCTGGGTATCTGCTAATCCTGGAAAGACACCTTCCATACCGTGACACTGTATTTTACTCTTCTGCAGCCAAAAAAAATCCGTTAGCACCTTATCGCTCTTATATAATGGCAGCCCCCTCTCAACCCCAGTACAAAACATTTACATCACTATTGCTCTTTTCACCTCCCCCCCTTTATTCATTCCCGTTTATTAAAACATGTATCACCCTGTATCCAAAAAGCCGTAATTCAGAAAATCCCTGAATAATAGCTGGTCCTTCTTTTGATTATATTATCAAGTTATCGAAAGAAAAATATCTTGGTTCACAATTTATACTTAATATCCTCAAATATTTTATGTATTTGTGGACCTTTTAAAATGGTGTCTCATTTTGAAATTTTATCCCCCTTTTGGGGAGAAGGGAAAATGGAGAGAGTTCCATCAGCCTTAATTCTACAATTGGCATAATTTTGGTGGGTTGACTGACTACAGAAATATCTCAGGGGACATTATACCCTTCCTCCTTCTCCATAGCTTATGCAGTTGCAATACTCTTCACATAGCTACAACAATATTCATATTTTGCTTTATACTTAAAACCACAGGCAGCTTCGGTATAAACTGAGAAATATTTTGTGGCCATTCAACCAGTCACAGATGTGCTTCTTTCTAATGTCTACAGTGACATAACAAGAGCCGTGGTGGCTCAGTGGTTAGAATCCAGTTTTGAATCCTAACTCTGCCCACTGCCAGGAGTTCAATCCTAACCGGCTCAAGGTTGACTCAGTCACCTGTCCTTCCGAGGTGGGTAAAATGAGGACTCAGATTCTTGGGGGCAAGAGGCTGACTCTGTAAACAGCTTGGAGAGGGCTGTAAAAGCACTGTGAAGCGGTATATAAGTCTAAGGGCTATTGCTGTAACTCAGTTTTGCTCCAGAAAATGATCCCTGTTGCATTAAGAAAGAGGATTGGCTGGAAGTCTCTGCACAGAAAAGTCAACAAGGAGCAAGAGATGGTTCAGGTAAAGTCCCGAGAAGATTCCTTTGCTCCTCTGTGACAGTCTTCATGGGTTATGTGGAGATCAAATATGTAGTTTGGACAACCTTCTATTTTGTGCCCTTTGGGATGAGCCAGATTGCAGGCACATTTGAGGTAACTGTTTCTCAGATTCTTGTATGTACCTACAAACCCCCACAGGTTGACAAGCATTATATGGTAGGGGACAGTTTTAGAATAACAGAGTTGGGAGGGACCTTGGAGGTCATCTAGTTCAACCCCCTGCTCGAGCAGGAGAGTCTATTCTAAATATTAGCCTCTATCTAGGATAGAACTCACAGCCTGGCTTTCTTTCTTGCGTGCACGTTCACTCTCCTAAGCACTTACCGGTAGGGCCTTGCAACCCAGGGGGTCCCTGGGGGCCTGGAGGTCCTGGGGGTCCCGGAGGTCCCATCACGGTGGTACCTGGAATGCCAGGGATGCCTGGAATGCCAGGGGGGCCTTGGGGTCCAGGTGGTCCAGGTGGGCCTTGGGGCCCAGCAGGTCCTGGAGGGCCAGCTTTTTTGCCTGTGAAAATACAGGGTTACGTTTTCATTTGTATAAACATGGATGCTAAGCTACATGGGCAGGTTCTATTGCTTCCTGGGTATGAAGGTATTGGTTAACAGGACTGACACCATTACTTCCTCCAGCAATTCGAATAGAATGAAATAGAAATAGATATAGGTATAGGTATAGATAGAGATAGAGATAGAGATAGAGATAGAGATAGAGATAGAGATAGAATAGAAATAGAAATAGAATTCTTTATTGGCCAAGTGTGATTGGTCACACAAGAAATTTGTCTTTCGATTTCTGCCAAAGAGACAAATTAAAGACAATATGAGAGTAATCTTGGACACCTTGGAATACTACGAGGCACATCCTGAAAAACAAATGGCTCTGATATTCCTAGATGCACAGAAGGCATTTGATAATGTGAATTGGCGATTCATGTTATTACTGCTGGAACAGATGGGCTTTGCTAGAAAATTTATTCAAGCAATAGAAGCTATATAGTATAAGCAAACGTCAAAGGTAATGATAGAGGGAGAACTGACAGACTATCAATATAAGAAAAGGAACAAGACAAGGGTGCCCACTATCACCTTTGTTGTTTGTGTTAACTTTGGAAGTGCTAAACAGAAATATTAGAGATGAAAAGAATATAAAAGGAATGAAAATCAAAAAGGAAGAATTTAAGCTGCAAGCATTTGCAGATGATCTGGTTTTCATCTTAGAAGACCGTCTAGAAACAGCACCAAAATTGATAGAAAAGATAGAGACATATGGAAAGGTGGCTGGTTTGAAAATAAATAAAGATAAGACAAAGATCTTGACAAAGAATATGCTATCAAGACAAAAGGAAGAACTGGCAGACCTATTGAAAATTCAGGTCACAAATAAGATCAAGTACTTGTGGATATATTTGACAGCAAGATGTAGTACACTAAAAGAGAATAATTATACCAAACTTAAACAGCAGATAGCGCTAGATCTGGTGAAATGGGAAAATTTACAACTGTCACTAATAGGGAGAATTTCAGCAATCAAGATGAATATATTACCCAGAATTTTATATTTGTTTCAAACAATTCCAATTAGGCTTGGAAAAGATTACTTTGAAGATTTAAATAAAATTGTGTTGAAATATATATGGCAAGGTAAGAAAGCGAGAATAAAGTTAAAACTTTTGCAAGATGCTAGAATTAGAGGAGGATTTGGTTTGCCTAATTGGGAGTTGTATTATCAAGCTACAAATCTGATGTGGGTTAAGGAATGGATAACACTAAGAAATACTGGATTGTTGACATTAGAAGGACATGATTTGTTGTTGGGGTGGCATGCTTTTTTATGGTATAAAGGAACTAAAACACAGGGGTATTTTAGAAGACATTATATACGGGAGTCTCTGTGGTTAAACTGGGAGAAAATTAAAAGATAATGTTATTTAAAAATTCCAGTCTAGCTATCGACTATTGAAGCATTTTCTTATCCTATAATATACAAAAAGGAACAAACAGTTAGATATGGTGAAATATTGAATGAAAAGGGTGAACTCAAATCTACACAAAAACTAGAGGAACAAGGTATAAAAATGAATTGGTTTTCATATGCGCAAGGTATAAAGATTCTAAAACGGAAGGTTTCTATGATAAATTGACTGATTTAGATAAGATTTTGACAGGTACTGATGAAAAGGTGATTTAAAAATTGTATGGATATTTATTAGAAATTAAACTAGAAGAAGAACAAGTTAAAGAAACAATGATTGCTTGGGGGAAGAATTTTGGATATGGGATTGATTTAGAGAAATGGCAAAAATTGTGGTCTCAAAATTATAAAATGACAATGTCAACAGCATATAAAGAAAATTTGTATAAGATGTTTTACAGGTGGCATTTCCCCCCGACAAGAATAGCAAGAATGTTCAAGAATAAATCCGAAAAATGTTGGAAATGTCATCAGACACCTGGCTCATATTACCATATGTGGTGGACTTGTGCGGATGCTAAAAAATACTGGACTAAAATCCACACGTGGTTGGAAAAAATGACAAAAAAACATATAGACTTGAAACCAGAGATATTTTTATTGGGAATTTTACCAGAAATATATAGTAAAGACTTGAAATATCTGATTGTAAATGTATTAACAGCGGCTAAGATTGTATTTGCCAAAAACTGGAAAAATGAGAAAACACCATCACAGGAGGAAATCATTAAGAAAATATTGGAATGTGCTGAAATGAGTAGAATGACATTTGAAATTAGAAAACAAGAGGATAAACAATTTTATAAAATTTGGGATCTATTCTATCAATGGTTAGACAATAAAATACAGTAATGAAATATGTAGACTTTTAGAAAATAATAAATATATAAAGATGTACTTCTTTCTTATTATATCTACAAAATGATTTTAGGATAGATTTGGGGTGATAATATGAACTGTTATAAAACAAACTAAGTAAATTATGATTATCTTGTAAAACATGAATGAATAAAAGTATAGTCAAATGATTGATTAATAACGATACTAAGGTATTTAATTTTTGATTGAAAATACAAGATTATATGCAATGTAATTGTAATTGAAGACTACTAAATGGAAGCACAAAACAATTTGTAAACCAACCGACACACTGTATGTACACCTATGGAAGATGGCTTGATGTTTTTATGTTTTGTTTGTTTACATTTGTTTTTAAAAACCAATAAAAACTTAAATAAAAAAAAAAGAAATTTGTCTTTGGTGCTTATGCTCTTAGTGTATGTAAAAGAAAAGATACATTCATCAAGAATCATCAGGTACATCACTTAATGATAGTCATAGGGTACAATAAGCAATCAAATTATACTAGGAAACAGTCAATATAAATCGTAGGATACAAGCAACAAAGTTACGGTCATACAGTCACAAGTGGGAGGAGCGGATGGGTGATAAAGAGTGATGAGATTAATAGCAATAGTAGTGCAGATTTTGTAAATAGTTGGACAGTGTTGAGGGAATTATTTGTTTAGAAACCGTTAGAGAACATTTCACCGAGGCAGCTGTTGTCAGCGCCATCTTGGATCAATCTTTGAAAGTAGTGGGGAAGTGAGCCCACCAGCTGGGCAAACAGAAACTTGCAGGGGACCAACAGAAGGAAGAGAGAAGGATGGGAACAGAATGAACAGAGAAAGACAAGAAGCATCCGAGTTCACCGTACAGCTGCTGCCCGCAATGAATATACCCTGAGAGCTGTCGGTTGAGAGCGAGTGTTTCCTATTGAGTAAGCAGAGACTGTAAGAGGAATCTAAAGAGCCAGGGAATGAATTCACAGTGATCAATTTAACAGTGTACTTCATTGGGAGAGAGTTCATGACGGATTCCCGAGAGCCAGAGGCAATAATAAGAAAAAGAAAAGTCTTGTGTGGTAACAAAGCAAAGTGTTTCTGCAAGGCTTGTGACGTTTTTGCATTCCTCCCTGAGAGAAATCTGGCCTATATTGGCAAGCTTATGGCAGTCTTTAAAAAGAAGGGGAGAAAAGGATTGGAACAATTGATGGATGGGAAAGCGCTATGGACTGATCCTGTGTGTCTTGGAGGCTATCATAGCAGCTTCCTCCCCTCCCTGCTGCTGGGTGCCAGTAGGTAAGTGTGACTTGAGGGAGGGGGGCATGCGGGAAGAGTGAGGGGTGGGATGAATAGATGCCTTGGCCTGGGAGGAGGAAGCGAGGGTGGGCAAGGCTCTGCGGGGAGAGGAGGAGGCAGGCTGGCCACTGGGAGAGTGACGGGCAGGGAGGGGAAATAACGGGATCCTGAAGGCAGTCCAGACTTGGGGATTTGGGGCTCCCTGGCTGAGAGCCACCCTGGACAGCTATTGCTGTTAAACAGGGCAGTGACTTTGTCCACAATTTGATCTGTGTTACTGAAACCTGGGTGGGCCTGGAGCGGATTGTTTCCCTCTTGGAAAGTGCCACCTAAGGCTTTGGTTCCCGTCATTGTCATTTATTTATTTATTTTTATTTATTTATTTAGTCAAACGCTTACAATATAATAGAAATAAGAATAAACATAAGTTTAAATACATGAAATAGGAACTAATAATCGGGGACAATAGGACAGGGAGGGTAGGCATGATTGTGCGCTTATGCACGTCCCTTACAGACCTCTTAGGAATGGGGTGAGGTCAATGGAGGTTATTTTGAGGGTAAAGGAGTTGGGGTTTGAGCAGGTGACAACAGAATCGGGTCGTGAGTTCCAGACATTGACCACTCTGTTGCTGAAATCATACTTCCTGCAATCAAGTTTGGAGTGGTTTACATTAAGTTTATATCTGTTGTGTGCTCTTGTGTTGTTGTGGTTTAAGCTGAAATATTCATTAACTGGCAAGATGTTGTAACATATGATTTTATGTACTATTCTTAAGTCCAATCTTAGCCAGTGTAGTTCAAGGTTGTCTAAGCCTAGAATCTCAAGTCTGGTGCTGTAGGGTATTCTGTTGCAAACAGAGTATAGTACTCTTCTTGTAAAATATTTCTGGACTCGCTCAATTGTATTTATGTCTGATATACAGTGCGGATTCCAGACAGCAGAGCTGAATTCAAGTATTGGTCTAGCAAAGGTTGTGTATGCCCTAGTTTGCAAATCAGTATTACCAGAAGAGAAGCTTCGTAAGACCAGATTTACAACTCTTAAAGCCTTTTTTAGTAATGTTGTTGCAGTTGTCGTCCCCGAGTCTTTGAGGGTTTCCAGGGGCTTTGTGCTACAGACCACTGCATGTGAGTCCCCCTGGTTGGAATTGGGCTGTGAGGGTTAGGAGCTTGAAAATGCTCCCAGCTCTATGCTTCTTCCCCCTCCGTCTTCTCTTCCTAAAGTGAACCATTCTGATTTCTCTTAACCATTACTTGCTCCAGTTATCTGAACAAGCAGCTTGAAATCATAGGGTGGAATTATTATTAGTCCCTTCGAGCCAGTCTTGAATCCTGGCAGGTGTTTGAACAAATCCCTGAAGTTTTCTTAGCAAGATTTCACAAGCTGCTCGCCACTGTCTGCTTCCTAGGGCTGAGATGGTATACCTGGCCAGGTTCTTCCTCCTGCCCAAGGCTGGCTTCAGGTTTCTCACCTGGTGTCTTAACTACTACATCAAATTGGCTCTCCAAGGGTAGAATTAGCTCATCCTGTAATTTGGGAATTTTATTTCTACTCATGTGATCTAAAATTGTGCTTATGTTTTTTGAAACTGCGCTTCACAACTGGTATTTATAGTCAACTTGTGATCAACCAGAATTCCTTCTTACAGGCAGTAGCCAAACCAGCATCCCCCATCCAGGCCTATTCCTGTAACCTACCAAGATGGCCTTGGATTTTGCTTGGATTTTGCTGGTAGCCAATCAGCTTCTGGGCGCAAATCAAAACCTCTATAAACCTCCCAGTGACACTTGCTGAGCAGCAACTGGACTGCCTGAAACCTGACTAGCATTTGGGGTATTCCCATTCTCTGGACCAGCCTGCACAAGAGCGGGCAGAAAAGGGTCCTATTATAGGTCAGGCAAGAGGGCCTGTCTCTGCTTGGCAGGTTCGGGCAAGGTGGGGCATGAATGTCTCTCTCACACCCAGAGACAGGCTGCAGAGCCCCTCCCCAGTCTGCCCTCACCTCCATCACTCTGGCAGGTGCCCCAGAGGGACCACATATCATCACGAGAGCTATTTTTATTTCTGCGCTTAACTCCTTTGCCCAAGGAACAATGTGTGGATCTGGAAGACCTGTTTCCTTGGGCTTATCTGATGACATCATGATGTTATTTTTAATTCCACCCAGGCCAAGCCCAGTCCCAGGCAATGCAATGCCGCCTTACTATAAAAAGTGCATGGTGCGGCAGCCGAAAACTTGCTTTTTATTTTTTTAATTAATTGATAATATAAAATGCAAAAGAAAATAGTAGAAAATATAGGGGAGGAAAGTGTAGGAAAAAGGTGGAAAAGAAAGAAAAGGCACTGACTTCTGACTCCCTTTGATGCAATAGAATAAGATAACAGCATCAAATCTCAACTTTTTAGTTTTACATAATAGTGTAAACCAGCTATTTCTGTAACAATAAACCTATTCAATTGGTAAAACAAAACAAAAATCAAAGTTTCATTTTTTTCCCCCATCTTGAGCACGAAGTCCAGAAGCAGTTTCCAAATAGAAACAAAAGTAATTGTGTTTTTTTTTCTTTAATCAAAGCAGCCAGTTTAAGCACCTCGGCTAATTCCACCACTTTTTGCAGCCATTCTTCCATTTGTGGGAATCAAAGTGTCCCTTTTGTGAGAAAAGTAATCTGGCTGCCCTCAACGTATATAACATCCTCCCCAAAATTTCTGAATCTTTTTCCATTAAACCCAAAAGAAAACTTTCTAGTTTTATCTTTATATTCACTTCTAGAATATTCTATATGAAGATGTGAATCCTAATCCAATACTTTCTTTGCTTTATCACATACCCACCATAAATGATAAAAGGCCCTTTCTTTACATTTGCCTTTCCAACGTTCATTTGAAATACCTTGGTGCATTCTTGACAGCTTATCTGGTGTTAAATACCAATAAAAAGCACATTTGCCTTTTTTAAAAACAACAAAAACCACGAGCGGCAGAAGACTCTCCATGCAAAGCACAGGGAAGCCATCCTCTTGTGCCGCTTCAGGACTGGGCTGGCTGCTGGCCAAGCCTTGGCCCAAGCTGCCTATCGGCCGTCCTGCCTTCGGTCTGAAGCGAATCTCGAACTTCACGAAATCTTGTGTACACGTATCACAAAATTCCTCTGGTTCATATCACCCTAGACTTGGTAGGATGAGGTGTATACCTAAGCCAGATCTCTCCTCCCGCCCACCAAAAAAAAGAAAGAAAACAACCCAGGGGAAAGACATGCTCCAGCTGCTTTCGCTAATCCTTCCCAGGGGCCTTCGGCTGCTAAATTAGCTGCTACTTCAGCTCTAACCCAATTACACGGAATCCAGAGTGGCGCGTGCAGGCAAGTTCTGACACCAGGGCTTCCGTCCAAGTGAGGTGCCTGCTTCAAAAAATAGCCAACTCTGCTGCTGTGCAATCCGGCACGAAACAGCTACCCTCACCGGGCGTTTCTGTAAGCCCCTGGAGATCCTGCCCTCGCCTCCAGCTTTCCCTGGGAAGAAGGGACAGAGCCTGTTGCCCATCCCTATCCAGACCTTCGGATGCAGCCTAGCAAGAGGGGCGACAATCCCTTCAGGATTAGCAAACCATCGCCAGGTACGCCAGGTTGTAAAGCTGCAGTACCAGAACTTTCTAAGTCTGGATGTGCCTGGCCCTTCTCTCTCTTCGACTAGGGAGGGTCTTGGCCCGAGATGCTTCCTTGCACGATGTTTTTGCGCAGGGCCTTTTATCTAACCGCTGCCTTGGTAGCAGCTCTTCCTCCTGTCCTTCCAAGCCATTTCTTCAGCCTGGAGCAGCTGCAGTGGGTGGGAAAGTGGCCTGGACACTGTGGTCATGAGGTAGGATGGCTTCTGCCATCCACTGCTGCTCTCCAGTACGCAGGGTGGCTAGAACAGCCTGGAAGGATGGCCGGTATTCTCCATCACGTCCGCGGGGCATGGACCCTGTGCCAGCTCCTCTCCTCTTCCACCTTCTCTGGAAATCCCTATCAGCTTTTTGCAAACCTCCCCAGGGCTTTGGGCCAAGAAAGGGACGTCGGTTCTACTGGTTAACGTTGCTTTGTTCCAAGCCAAATGTCTGGCTTGCAACATAAATTAGGCAGCCACCTAAATCACATAAATAAAACACAAACAACGGGATTTTGGATAGACGATGAAGAGGAAAACACCAACAGGCCACATCGTGTGTGTTTGTGTGTGTGTGTGTGTGTGTGTGTGTGTGTGTGTGTGTGTGTAAAAATAGAAAAAAAAAAGCTTACCTTTCTTCTTTTTAGGACTTGTGCCTACAAAAGAAAAAAAAATGTCCATATATATTTCTGTTGTTCGAAACCACATCCTGTATCTATTAACATCTGATGATTAAATAAAAATCCAACATCCCATCCCTGCACAATGCATTCAGTATATAAACAGGAAGAACTAAATAAAGTAAGTGTAAATACTTTTATAAGTCTATAAGTTTGGAGCTTCATGGATGACCCAGTGAAAGCCCACCATCCCATCAGCCTCTTTCCCTCTACCGGAAGGTTCTCCCTCTCGTAAGTTCTACTCTTCCGGTGCTTCTTGCAGAAGGACAGTCAGAGTTGGACCTTGACTGGTGATGGACTGAAGAGCAGGGCAGAAAGAAGTGGGAAAAATAGCTCCATTTTCTACAAGACAATTCAGCTACCTTAAAGCAAAGTTAACGCAGCTGATGGCTTGGAATTAGGAGCAGGCAGAAGTTCTGTTTCGCTTCTAAAAGGAACTAGCTAAAAGGTTATTTCCATCTTTAAACTCTGTATCAGGATTCCGGCACTTAACCCCCAATTAAATCATGAGTCTTGAGCCAAACTTCCAAACTTAAAAAGGATTTATTGGGAGTTAACATGTCCAGCACTGCCTGGGTGTAGCCGACTCTGAGACACATAATTCATTGTCTCCTTTGACTCTGGTTTTCCCCGTACCCTGGGTGTATCATTATTCATATTCTCCAATGGGACACATCCATAGCCCAGAGTCATCAATCAGGCTCTCCAGATAGAATTTTGCATGGCAGAAACTTCAGTCACCTAGTTACTATCTTTGAAAATATTTATGGAATGCACTTTCGATTTCCAAGCTGACACACTGCTCCCCCCTCTCTTTCTGTTGGCAACTCTAAAAAGACCCCAGAAATATTTTATGAGTTGACATTCTGTACAAAAGTACTAGAATGAAAAAAGCAAGACTTTAGGAAGAAGAGAAAATAGGAAGAGAACACAAGAGGAGATATGATGGCACAGAGCCTTCCTCTCTCCTGTCCAGATCTATCTGGCCTCTCTGCTCATGGCCCCTTGCTCTGGGACAGGGGACCCCACCCCACCCCAACCCCCAATCTGTGGCCCAATGCCTTGCCAGAGCCCGTTCCGAACTGGGCCAAGGGAGTGGTAGGGGAGCTTGCGCATGCACAACGCTGCAATTGTGAAAACGGTGCAAAGGCATGTGTGAAACCATCCCCTCTCCCCTCCCTGCCACCCCCGCCAGTCAGCTGAACTGGAAAGGTTGGAGTTTGCTGCCCTGGGACACACACAGAGCCTGGTCTGGCTGCCAAGAGCTGCCCCTCTTTGGGGGGGAATAAACTAATAGCCTAAATAGCCTCAGCACCTGCCATCCAATCCTAGAAAACGTCTCCTTGATTTACGATTCGTGTAGCAACCATTCAAGCTTATTACAGTACTGAAAAATGTGGCTTATGGCCGCTCCTTGTAGCATCCCCAGTCATGTGATCAATTCAGGCGCCTGGCAACCAAAGTTATACGTAAGCTGGTCGCAGAATTCCGGAGTCAGGTGATCACGGACTTCAGCAAGCAAAGTGAACGGAAGAAGCTGGATCCAGTTAATGACTGCCTGATTTATTTAAAAATTGCAGTGATCTGCTTTAACAATCCTGGCCAAAAGGTTATAAAATCAGACCTAACTCACTTTGTAACCACTCTGCTTAGCAATGGAAATGGTGATCGAAAGTCAAGGACCACCTGAATTTGGTTGTAGATCTCTTCCACCCCAACCTGCTTTTGAATTTGCGCAGCCCTGAGAGCAGAACCTTCTCTTCGCGTGTACAAATGAGTGTGCATGTGTGCAGAATCACTGCCACCTAGTGCTGCATCCAGGAGAGACTCTACCGTGGTCTCCATTGGAGAGAACGTCTGTCCTGAGTGGGGTCCCCACCCACCCCCCGGAAAGAACCACCCAGGAGAGGGTGTGATGATCCAAAGGGGTGTGGCACAAAGGCAACACAGTCACATAAGTAAGAAGAGTCCCTTTAGTTCTTCCAGTTTTGCCCCCAATGTCCAGTTACCTTCAGCTGGAGAGAAAACTCTCCCAAGAACAATCTTTAAGTAGAGGAAATTCAGTCCGAAAACTAAGTACATACAAACTGTAAATAAAAATCCATACAAACCACGCTGCTGTAATTAGCTGGATAGGGAAGGATAAGAAATTGCAGACTTAAAAGGCCAGCAAAACACACACAGTTGGGAAGATGCCAGGAACCCAGATAAGCCTAGACAATACCAGATAACTCACGATTTGCTCCCAACAACTGGCTGTGCGCAACTCCCCTTTTTAAACACTGTGTTCCCAGCTGCAGCTAATGAAGGGAATCGGGGCCCTTTGCTCCCCCGTAAGCCACGCAACCCACGTTGCTCTTTTCTCCGTTCCTCCCTGCTTTCCCTAGGATGAAGAGGGGGTGGGCCTGGGTCTTCCTCCGAATTCCCTCTGCCTTGCTCTACCTCTCCCCTGCTCTGCCCAGCCAGACTTTGCCCTTCCCCAGTTTCTTCCACAACCAATGGAGCCACACTCCCACTCCCTGTCAGTTGCTCGGCCTCCCCCTCAGATTCCAACAGGAGCACGACAGAGGGTCTTTCCACCATTCAAGCCCAAGAGAGCCTCTGCTTTTTAGCCATGTGTCTGGAAACGAACAGGGCTTGTATCCACCATGGACCTCCCTCAGCAGGCCAGCCTTTGATCCTGTGTTGTGGCCAAGCCAGAAGCTGGATAAGGTGCTGGGGAGGGATCATCCCTGAGGAACAGCACCAACTGTGGTCTGTTCCAGAACTGCCTGTACAACCATCCACATCATGGTAGGTCATATTGCAAAACTTTCTTTGTGGTTGCCTTGGAAGGACATGGAGCAAAACCTTTTAATGTAAACAGTGGCATCCAATGCGCAATTAGGAGCCATGCGTGACCACCCTCAGAGACCTATGAAAGGTTTCTTTGGACGTCAGCAGCTCCCACATTCCCAAGAATGCACGAATGGTTTGCAACCCAAGATGTTCTCAACTGAATTAATATGGGAACAGATGGGGGAAATTCTCCACACAAATCAAACTGGACAGTGTTGAAAATTGCTATGTCAGAGTTATTGAGGCCCTGCTTTTTGGCGGGGGGTGAGCTTCCCTGTCCCAATTGAGAGCAGCTTTTTTTTTTAAGGACGAGTGAAATATTTGTTTGTTGTTTATATCCCACCTTCATTATTTTTATAAATAATTTGAGGTGGCAGATATACTCCCTAGATCCACTTCTAGGAATCAAAATAAACAGATAAGGCCTGTTGTAAAAAATGCCAAGCCTGCAAAAGCTACGAAGAAGTATCAGAGAAAAGAAGGATACAGACAATTATAAAATTACCTCAACATTTAACCAATTTGTCTGAGCATGCCTGAAGAAAAATAGAATATCCTTGGCAAAAGAGTACAATTGTGCAATCCCAGATAATTTATTGACTAGGAAGCAAGGCGTCCCAGATTAAGTTCACAGCAGAAAGCAGAAATGGGAGAGATTCACCTCACTTTCGTGTCTCTGAGATTGCAAAACCTTCTATTGGTGGAGTTGCTTTCTCCAGGCCTTGGCCGGTCAGTGGGGACTTAGGAACTGGCCATGGGATAAGAAGACGATTACTTCAAAGCCTCTGAGTAATTGTGGGGTCAGGTGAGGGTAGCTGATTCGGACAAGCCCATATCTGAATGAAAATGTGACCGACTGGATTGGAATAGAGAATCAGGGGGCACCTGGATCCCCCATTGGCATCTGGACAATGTAAGAGTTGATCCCCTCTGAAGATGAGAGGAGGCGGAGGAAGAGGAGGCATTATTATTATTATTATTATTATTTATTGAATTTATATTGCCGCCTATTCGCCCATGGTGACTTGAGGCAGTTTACAAGAATGTAAAACCATTCCTGAAGGTGAGCTCCATGATTTAGAAGGATCGTCTGACAGTCTTCTCCGAGGTGTGTCCTAAAGACAACAGCCATGAGGAGAAGGGATCTGGAAAGAAAACACATTTGGTGTGCTTTAGCTTGAAGTATCCGAAGGACCGCCATTTTGCAGAATTGTTTAGAGTTATTCCAAAGGACTAAACAAGAAATGGTGGGCTTACGTTTCAAGGACATTGGCTTATGGTGAACCCCAAGAAACATTTCTTACCACGAAGAGCTACTGAACAGTGGAACACGGGGTTGGGGGTGGGTGTCAGTGGTGGGATTCAAATATTTTTACCACCGGTTCAGGGGGTGTGGCTTGGTGGACACACTTTGCACGCATGCACACACTTTGTGCGCACGCATTAAACGCGTACTTTGCACAGGTGCAGAGACATTCTAACTCACCTCCTGCAAGTCTGCACGATCCCGGTCGCTTCAGCGGCTGCTGCACGGCACTCTTCTGTGCCGCGCAAAGCAGCTGCGCTTCAAATTCAGACGCTAAAGGTGAGTATGGGAGCCAGGCAGGCGGGTGGGCCCAACGGCAGAGCGGTGGAGAGAACCGGTTCGGTCTCAGCAGAATCAGGCCAAACCAGTAGAATACCACCACTTTGTGTGTGTGTGTGTGTGTGTGTGTGTGTGTGTGTAAACGGACCGAAAGGCCATCAGTCAGAGGTTCTGAAGCTGTGGCGAGAGTGTTGGCCCAGTGATCTTCAAGGTCTCGTTCATTTTGTGCAGCTGCCGTAGAGCCTCCTCAGGGAATGATAATAACGGAGCAGCTTCAGGAAGGGAAAGCTCCTCTCCGTATCAGGAGGCTAAGCTATTTACAGCTGTACATCCCAGGAAAAGCTTTTTAAAAATCCTATTTTTAAAGAGTTACTCAAAAGAGTTAAATTACGTTCACCCCTGAATATCACCTAAGTTATTGCATCATTTGCCCCCCGGAGCGAATTCCTGTCTGGTGGAACTGTTTTGTCGCCAGTGGTGACCTGGACCCTCTTCAACAGCACGGCTGCCATTCTGTTCTGCACATCAATGCTTATCCATGGAGACCAAGGGGAGCAAGCGGCCAGTTTTAAGTTTCTGGGTGTTGCCCTAAAAGAGGACCTGACCTGGGGGGCTCACATTGCAGCCCTGGTCAAAAGGGCCCAGCAGAGATTAGACTACCTGAGGCTTCTCAGGAAGCAACAACTGAATGAAAAACTGCTGGTGACCTTCTACCGCTGCACCAGAGAAAATATCTTAACTTACTGCACACCTGTGTATGCTTTGCCAATTGCACAGTGGCAGATGGGAAAGCATTCCAGAGGGTGAACGTCACTGCCCAAAGGATCATGGGTTGCCCTCTCCCCTCTTTGGAAGAGCTTTATAGCTCCCTCTGCCTCAAGAAAGTTCAGAACATTCTCAAAGATCCATCTCTTCCTGGGCCCCCTTTGTTTTGAACTATTACCACCTTGCAGACGGTACAGGATAATAACAAAAACAAGGACAAATAGGCTGAAAAACAGCTTCCAGGGCAACTCTATGAATTCTATTGTATAGTGCAATATCAGGGGTTTTCAATTCAATTGTATAAAATGTGATGGATGTGTGTTTGTATTTATTGTCATGGTCATGATGTGCACTGAGGATGGTGTTTGATTTCGTTATATGAGGTGCAATGACAAAGTAAAGTAAAGTAAAGTAAAGTAAAATAAAGTAAAGTAAAACTAAACTAAACTAAACTAAACTAAACTAAACTAAACTAAACTAAACTAAACTAAACTAAACTAAACTAAACTAAACTAAAACTAAAACTAAAACTAAAACTAAAAGTAAAACTACACATTGTTGTCCATATCCAAGAGCAGCCCATCTAGAGCACATTACGGTAATGCTGCTTCCGGCTCACAGGGGACAGCAGCTGACTGGCCCTATGCAAGGGTAGTCAGGGCTGATGAAGGCCTTCCTAACAAGGGAGATCACTCGAGCCCCAGTGATGACAGAGAGCCGCCTGCAAACTGCATTCCTTCCAAAGCAGCCCAACCCTCTTTCCGAACAGACAGACACGGTGATGCCTCTGTTTGGGAAGCATCCACCCACAAGCTTCCATCTTGTCAGATTTAGCCTCCGTTTATTGGCTCTCACCCAGTCCATTCCTGAATTTTGGCATTGGTTCATGACACGCACAGCCTCACCTGGTTGAGACGTTATGAAGAAGCATCACTACTCTCAGCAGAAGGATGGCACCCCTCCCCAAACTCTTCATAGCTGTCCCCCAACAGCTCTGTACAGAACTTAAGGAGCCCCGAGGACATGGCGCTTCCTTGCGGCCATTTTTGTGGCCGCCAGGACCATCCGTCGCTCAGGCTTCCCCATGAAACTATTCCTTCTACCAGGAACAGAAGCATCCCAGAACGTGACCTCCAACCCCATCTGTGGGGATGATTCAAAGGTTACAGAGAGATCCAGCAGAACCAAAGATTAGAACTCAGATATTCCTAACTCCCACCAAGCTCGAGAATCAAACTTCTTTGCCTTCTGCAAAGAACTGCAGTTTCTCAGCTGGCTTTTATCTCTAAAGGGAGGGGCTATTACTTTGCAGCCTTACTCCCGAGTCGCCCATGCTGCTGCAGCTGCTCTTTCCTTCAAGCAGTCCTGGGCACAGGCTCCTCGGGGACCTCTTCCTCACTGCTGCCAGCCACCACAATCTCCAAAGTCAGCATTCCACTCCCTGATGGTCCTGGCCCCACCCCTGCCTCACCCGCAGGCTCCTCATTTGAGTCCTCGCTCTCCGAGCCCTCAGCTGCCCACACCTGCTGCCGGCAAACCACAACATCCCCTCAACCACTTGTGGAAAGATGAGATGTTAAAACTCTGGCGTAGGAACCCATTTGTTGGGAGACAGGACGCCAACTCACTTTCTGATCCTTCGCTGTTCTTGCTTCTTTTGTTTCTGCGCACATGGTGGCTTTCTTCTTTAAAGAGAGGACTCTTCTCCGGGGAGAAGATATTCAGCCAGGCCATCTAAGAGAAGGAGAGCGGGAGAGGTCAGCATGGGCCAGCACAGCACAAATGTTTCGCATGAGGCAGCTTGGAAAAGCAAACAATGCAAAATGCTAAAATTAGCGATATTGACCATTCGGGGTAAGGGCAGCAGCAAACCACATCCAGAGAACCAGCTGTGATGCTGAGCGAACACGAGACCTCGGGGGGAAAGGGGAAAATGGAAAACTGACAATTTTACTGCCACCAGCTTCACTGAGTCGCACGAAGAGAATCCAACTGTTTTAGCAGGACGTTAAAAGTGCTCTGTTCGGAATAATTAGAAATGAATGTCCACATTTCTATTTTTAAAGTATTCCATTAATTTTCATGGTTTTAAATTTTCTATTTTGTTTGAAATTCCTAGACTTGGACTTCAAAGGACAATTTAGAGAAATCATTTCATAACAAAAACATGAGATTCTGCCACCTGTCCCTCAGCTCCGCCTTTTTGATCTCTGACCATATTAAGTTCAAATCTAACTGCAGTCCATATCTAACGTTTCCTTCTGAGATGAGTCCCATGGAGGGTTCAAAGTAAGGATGCACAAAGCATGAAGGGTCCTGCAGAAGGAATGCCAGCACAAGGCCCACGAGCACAGCTACGCCTGGAGTTACAACCAGCTCTGCCAACCTGTTCTGCAAAGGGGAAGCCCGCAAGAGACAAGCACCAACATAACGACACATAACCGCCCATAACATGTCAATCAGGCGACAAAAGTAATGAAACTCTTCTCAGTCAATCAGAATAGAGCTGGAAGGGACCTTGGAGGTCTTCTAGTCCAGCCCCACTATTCAAGCAGGAGACCCTATGCCATTTCAGATAGGTGTCTATCCAGTCTCTCCTTAAAAGCCTCCAATGATGAAGTCCCTACAACTTCTGAAGACAAGCCCTTACACTGATTAATTGTTCTCACTGTTAGGGAATTTCTCCTTAGTTCTCGTTTGGTTCTCTCCTTAATTAGTTTCCATCCATTGTTTCTTGCCTTGCCTTCAAATGCTTTGGAAAGTAAATTGACCCCCGCTCCTCAAAGACTGGAATATTTCTATATGTCACCCCTACTCCTTCTTATCTCTGGACTGGGCATACCCAGTTCCTACTTTCCTCTCCACCATGTCAGGGCCGCAATGGGCTTGTGCACCGCTGAGGTCGGCAGCTCGGCAGTTCGACTCCCATGAGCGAATAAAGTGCATAGGGACAAGAAAGGAGCCTCCCCTGAAAGGCTACTGTAGAAGCCCCCAAACTTGGCAACTTTAAGACTTGTGGACTTCAACTCCCAGAATTCTCCAGCCAGCTCTGCACATGGGTTTCAGAGTCTCCTTTCTTCTTCCAGATGTGCAAGAACTACAACTCCCATAATTCTCACTTGGCTAGGCATCTTGGAAGTTGCAACCTTAGCCAGAGGGTCCTTGCTCAGTTCAAGGGGGGGGGGGCGCTTAACTGAGATCATCCTGGCTTTATCAGAATTAACAGAATAACAGAGTTGGAAGTGACCTTGGAGGTCCTACCCACTATATCAGGGGTCCCCAAACTTGGCAACTTTAAGACTTGCGGATTTCAACTTCCAGAATTCTCCAGCCGGCAGAGCTTTCCATTCATATTATTGTACATCCCTTGTTTGTTTTTATTGTTTCGTTGTTTTGCTATCGTTATGTTTACATTTTTATTATTTTTTCCATCTTATTGTTGTAAGCCACCCAGGACAGCCTTAGGGCGAGATGAGTGGCAAATAAATTTAGCAAATAAATAAAAAAAAACCTTCAAACTTCTCTCCAGGTCTTTCCAGTGATGGTGGAACTACTTGCAGAGGGCAACCAGCAAAACGTGCCACTATACAGGATCTGCCCCATTTCTGCCCCACAACCCCTCAAGGCCATTCTGGACCCCGTTATTCTCACCAGGAACAGCAACAAGGAATGTCCCTAACTGACTAGCAGCCCAGCCTTTAAATTTGCTGACTTCCAACCGATGAACGAAACAGCTCAGCTTCATAACTTTAAGCTTAGTAATAGCCCAAATCAATCTTTCGGAGACAGTTCTTTGAGAAGCAAAGCGGCTGGGAATAGCAGAGTTAGACTCTATCACTAAATGATCTAACAGCACTGCGATTCTTTGGCACACACCAAATAATGACATAGATTTAGCTCAGTATAGGTGATATGATCATTAAACAGGTGTTGAAGTTAGGATAAAATTTCAAAAACAGTATGATACCTCAACCCCAAGGAATGTGCAGTTGCCTTAAGGAGGTCATTCCACCCGATTTCACATCTTATCCCTCACATTGCAATGCCCAAGGGAAAGCAAGAGAAAAATCTAGTTTTTGTATAACAGAAAACCAACATTTGAATCATAGAAGAAGGTCACAAATTTTAATTGTGCAACTCAAAAACTGCCAAAATCCCAAAATGTGCTTGTGTCCCAAATCCCAGTGCTCAGCATGCTGCAAGGGAGTAAAATCTGTTCCCTGTGTCCAGAACCAGCCTGGCCCAGGTGCCCGAGAGTGGACACTATTTCTATATTAATCCTTACTCTCCCTGAATCCTGCTCCTGCAGTTGCCATCTGTTAAGTCAAGGTGCAAATTCTCGTAGTATGGAAAGATGAAGCCCTTTGTTGAGTAACATAATATACTGCTGAAATAGTCATCCTGTAAATGCAAATGCAACTTCAACAGAAACCGGGCTCTGTCAATGCTCACTCTAATTGGTCAGAACTCTGAGAAGTTTGCTTCGTGCCTTCTGGCATAGAGGATTTCATCAAGGAACCAATATGTTGAAAGTCTCTCAAACAAAAGGCAAGTATCTCATCCTTTGACACCTTTGTATTCCAGGAGTCTCAGAAATCCAGGAAAGCAACAACCATTCGCAGCAAATCGATCAAACCTGGTCAGACAGCAGAGAACTCCGGCAGAAGCCCTTTGGAGAAGAAAGCACCAAGCAAACAGGACCTTGGATAGCTCTTTTTGAGAGCCGAACAAAACAAGGAAAGCTTGTGTAGATACCCAATGCAGTATCTGCCATTTCTACTTTCTGGAGAACTCTTGTGACAGATTAAACTTCTTCCCCTGGTTTTTAGCAAACTGAGGTCTGCAACAATATGGAGGCAGAGATAATCTTTTAAGTTCTCAATCTCTACCTCAATCTCGTATGTATCCTACATTTGGATGACCACCTAAAACAGAGGTCTCCAAACGTGGCAACTTTAAGACTTGTGGACTTCAATTTCCAGAATTCCTCAGCCAGCTTTGCTTTGGAATTCTGGGAGTTGAAGTCCACAAGTCTTAAAGTTGCCAAGTTTGAGGACCCCTGACCTTAAAAGATGAGAGGTCTGCATCAAGGCAAGGCTCAGGGGTCTCCAACCTTGGCAACTTTAAGACATCCAAGGTCCCTAGAACTAAGCAACCTGGAACTTAGGAGAAAATTCCTAACTGTGAGAGCAATCAACCAATGGAACGACTTGCCTTCAGAAGTTATGGATTGTGGTCGCTAAGCAATGCAGTCACATGAAGTTTTGAATTTCCACATTAGCAGTGGAAATTCCCATCCCAATTGCTGTCATAAGATGGAGACTATCTATAGTACCACATTTTGGGGAACCTTCATCCTACTACAAATTTTCCTTGGGCACCTTTGGACTCCTCCCCTGTAGCACCCTCAGTTAATACGACTGCTTTGAGTCCAACATACAGGTAGTTCTCAACTTACAACAGTTCATTTAGTTATCATCTTCTTTTAATGACTCCATAATCAAGAGTGGAATTCTACCGGTTCAGACTGGTTCAGGCGAACGAAGCACGCAATCACTGAACCTGTTGGTATACTGGTTGAATCGCACCATTGCCCATAATCGCTTGCGGGGAGGAGTCTGGGCAACTGAATGGAACTAGCAGAGTGTTTTAATGGCTCGATGCCCTTCCTGTCACCAGGGCGGAGTTATATTCAGCAGATATATTCTCAGAGTGTGTCCAGAGAGAAAAATATCTGCCTCTACCTAGGATCGAACTCACAGCCTCCTGATTGGGAGGCGAGAGCTCTACCTCTAGGCCACCACACAACTCCACAACAGTTAATTTAGTGACCATCTGAAATTATAATGGCCAATATGTATCCTAATTTAAGCCCACTTTGCTGGAAATGCAAACAAACAAGGGGCACCTTCTTCCACGTTTGGTGGCTTTACCCAAAAAGTAAGAAATACTGGACAAAAATACGAACATGGATAAAAGAAATTACGACCATTCAATTAGAATTTAAAGCAGAAATCTTTTTACTGGGAATAATAAAAGGTGAATGTGTGAAAGAAATAAAATATTTAATTTTACATATAACTACTGCAGCGAGGACAGAGCCCGCACAGGGTTGGAGGGAAGATCGTAGGCCAACAGAAAATTTAATAATCCAAAAAGTCTACGATGGCGCTGAAATGAACACACTAACTCAAGAAAAGGAAGACTTAAAATATTATACAGTCTGGGAAAACTGGTATAATTGGATAAGTAATAGAAGCCAGCAAGTAAATAAATAAGGAAGGAAGAATATAAAGAGGCTAAAGTACGAGTAACAACCAGATATATGAAATAAGTATTAGAATAATGTTTGATATGTATGCACCGTCTAATTAATTTGTAATATATATTTTTTTTCATCTTTAATGAAATGTTTTGTATTTTGTATTTATCTTTTTAATATTTAATAAAGTTTTTTTAATTAAAAAGAAAGAAATTATGACGGCATTGAAAAAAGTGAACATAATCAGTTTTCACACTTCCGACTATTGCAATATCTCTATGGTACGTGACCAAAATTCAGACGCTTGGAAACTTACTCATATTTATGACAGTTGCAGAGTCCCGGGGTCACCTGATCCCCTTTTGCAGCCTTCTGACAAGCAAAGTCAATGGGGAAATCAGATTCACTTAATGACCGGGTTATTAACTTAACAATGGCAATGATTCACTTAACGGTGGCAAGGAAGGTCATA